TCGATAAGTAGGTTATCCCTTGCCCTTACCCCTGGTGAGATAAATGAATAAATCAATGAATTAACTCTTCTTTGTTGACAGTGTATGGTTACATTTATTTAGTATTGTTTTAACGTAGTCATTGAATAATTGAGGGCTCTTATTCTCACAAAAAACTATTTGTTAGTATTCGAACGATCTGTTCCACTTAATTACTGATTGGTGATTTTCGAGCAGTTTATTTGGTACGCTAATATCATTGTTTAGAAACTTATATTAATATTGTATAAAATACAAATAACTAATACAAAAGTCTTGGAATTTAACGAAACTTACTAACAATGTTGCATTTGTTTTATCACTCAGCGTAAAATACCTTTTTTTTAGAATGGGCATTATGATGAGGGACAGTTTACTTATTGTTTGACCCTGGTTAAATTGTTTTACTTGAAGAGTCTTTAAACTTATCATTACTAGGAATATTTCAACAACACGTAAAGTTTTTTTTTTCAAAACTACATGTATTGCTGTTTTATATTCGTGTGAGCATGTAACATTTTAAATAGGTTTTTATTCTTTATTTCTTTAATATGCCAAGATGTACATACATGAAATTGAAGTATTTTAAACGAACTGAATTTTATCTGTTTCTCAAGATACGAGCGGGACGATGAAACGATGCTTCGTGGCTCTCGAGAGGACTCGTTAGTGGATACATACAAGACTACACCGCCAATGTCTCACACTGACAGTCCCCGTGGTAAGATGATAGTTATGGTATACAATTTCTGATTTATTATATTATCCTACGAGTAATCCCCCATTTTTATTACAATTTCTACTCAATTATGAAAGTATCGAAAATACAATGTTTCAATAATGATAAAAAATCTTACATTTTAAATAGTTTACGATACCTAAGAAAATTTCGATATTTAAGTAATAAGTTATTTCAAACCTATATATATATGTAATATATTACATTTTCATCATATTTATGTACAGGGAGTTAAACAAACGTCTGTTAACATTTGCATTAATGGAATATAATTTTATATAATCATATATGTAATACATGTTTGTCAGCGTAAATGCATATTATCTTCAAAACAACATAATGTTTTTATAACTGGTACGCTTATACAGAATCATTAAGTATTTTAACGTATGTATACTTTCGTTGCTCATTAGATATAACTGTCTTAAAGATGTATGGTAAATTGTTCTATTGCCTGTAAACAGGGAGCATAACGAAGCAAGCTTCATTAGAAGAAAGTGTTCAAATGGACACTCCTCCGAGGAGTCCACCGGAACCACCGCCAGATGAAGAACTTCTCCAGATGGTTGGTGCTGCACCGGTGCCAACACAACTAAAAGAACGACCGGAGATGACAGCGAGGCAACGGTGGCATTGGGCGTACAACCAAATTGTCATGCAGCTGCGGGTAAGTAATTAACGCACATGATATTTCGTTTTAGAATTTGTGCAATCGTGTAACCAACATTTTAATTGAGGAAATCCTTCAGAGAACTTCCTCGACTGTGAGATAATTCTATCAAACGACTGAACAGAAATTATTCAATGATCACTGCTTTAATTAAATTACTTAAAAAAAAACAGAAATGGAATATTCATACTGTTACAACGGTACGAAATGGTAAACTAATGGGTAACTATTTATAGGCAAACAGATTTCTATTGAAAGCGTAATCATGGCAGAAGTTTTTAATTGATTGCAATTGATTAAAAATCATATATTATATTCATGTGAAAATGTCGATCTTATGGATACAAATGTAAATTTTATGTTCTACTTTTCTATAATTGTAAACCATAATCTTAACCTTATTCTTCTCAAAGAACTATTAATAAAACGTAAAATCGTATTGTAACTCAATTAATGTAACTCAATTATGCTTTGATCAATTTCTATCGTAATAATTACGGAGCTAGACTTTTAAATTAATCTTATTATATTATTAACGCAATGTACAGTTAGTTATAACTATATATAGTTATCGAGTAGAATGAAAATAATTCCCCGTTTGATTAAGACGCTAGTCAACGACCTCACAGAGGCGACCTTCCGAAAAATGCGGTGTCGAATGCCGGCGACCCGCATTTCTCTGTCAGTCCTTCGCAGATACAACACTGGCCTTGTCAATCATTACCTTCGCGGCGTATCGATTTGTTACGTGCAGTTGTCACGGTAGAGGCTGCACCTACGGGTTCGACTGCTTTATCACCTGTATAACCTGTCATTCATCGTCAATTAGAAGGTCGCGGCGAGTCCGTTGATCTCTGGTGTCCGCTGCAACGAAAGGCGCCAGACACTATGGTTCCTTATAAACAACATTTCTGACAGATATAAAGATCTTTTATTTTACCGGCTGAACACTGGGTTTACGGAACGTGTCAATTTCGATGTACATTGAATTTTATAAACATTATTTGTTAAATGTTCACGTGGATTTTTATTGGTGCAATTGCAGAAATTCGTATCCTGATTGTATATTTCAACCCCTAATTTTGAAGGTCTAGATAAACGAACATCAATCATTGTGGGAACAATAGAATAAACTGAACAATAAATGCCCGTAAACGTAGTGTTAAATCAATTCGTCGAATCTACAAGTTAACGAGAACAGTAATTTCAATAATTAAGTACAATAGTAATAGAAATTAATTAAAATTTCATATTCTTCAAAAATTTAATCAGTCCACCTCACCGTGTTATCTTTTCTTACGACGATGTATGCATTACGCTACGTTAACAAATATTACAAACAAACACTTTGAAAAATAACAGAAACTAATCGATCAGAGAGAGCAACACGCAGATTAACAAAGTTTGATTTAGGGACATGAAAACTGTTGAAAGTTAAGCAATTTTATTTACCAACCCGATACAAATATATTGTCCCTTCCATCGTATTCATTTTATTTTAATGAAACGCCAGGCTAACGAACCATCGACGCGCACATCAACATGAATCAGAGGAAATCCGTAATGTAAACCCTGCAGACCCCGAACGAGTACTGGTCATTAACTATTGCGCTCGCCCTAGAAAACCGAGACGCACGAACTTATAAATAACGAATAACGCATCGCGGTATCACGTTGGAAAATAAAAGTCCCGTTGTTATCTTTATGAGCCATTGGCGTTGTACAATGAATGTTCATTAAAGTTTCATTGGGGTCTGGGAAAAATACGAGATTACGTGCGCCCCCCTTGGCGAGCTTGCGAGTGAACGAGCTGCGGAATAAAAGCGAATCGAATCGTTCTAGTTTGAAAATGGACAGAAAAATGGGCAGATTCTATAATTTGGGAATCGGAGGAAGGAATCCCCGGTTGAATAAAGTGGGCTGTTATCGGGACTCGCGTCTCGTCACCTTGAAAATGTCGCGTCGCTGCGACGAGTGGCGGATTAATAGGAGCCGACACGAAACTTCCATTAACGCAACCTTGTCGCCCAATTGCGGAGCCCTAAGTACGCACCTGGCGCGCCCCTGGGAGCCGTCGTAGTCGATTAACAGTGGAGAAACTCGCCCCTACGATGGAAAATGTAAATTCGTTCGGGCCCCCACGCGTTAGGAGATTATCGGAGATACGCAGCCGACAGTCCACTCCTGAACACTCGCTATTGTCAAGAAGGATTAAGATGATCTTATGGTTGTGAGGGGCGATGGTTAGTCGAAATATTGTTCATTGGGAGGATTGTTTATTAACATATTATTGACCGATCATGAGTTAACTCGTGTTTTCATGCTAAAACGTTGTTGACCGTTCACGAGTTAACTCGTGTCTGCTCTCGCATCAGCTATTTCGATATTTGAAACGCAGGGTAATATGGAATACTGCATAAGCAGAATATTAAAAGTTATAGAGCACGTCTAAAGTTTCATTTCAGTTCATTATGTATAAATAAAGTATATTGAAGTTTATTTAGATTGTTCCACTTCCATATTTAATTATGAAATAATAACCGGCAACATGGGATAGCTTCTGAATGTTGATAATGTTCCTAAATTATTTTTTTTTGTTAAAAATATCTGAGCTATAAATGTCATATATATCCATAGTTTACTTTTAATTTTGTAATGTAATTAATTACAAAGTGTAAGCTCTACGGCTTGTTTATTAATTCAAAAAAATATTGCTTACCAAGGTTTTCGAAGAAGATTGACAGGTAATAAAAAGAATGAAAACAAAACATTATTTTTCTGCCAAGAACTTACCAATTGCTGGCCAAAATTTTAAACAAGTCCTTCTCATGTTGAAAATAAATTTACTGTAACTAAAATTGTGTGCTGCCATGATTAAGTCACTGGAATTAGACCGGAAACATGATCCAGGTCTGCTGCAGTTGCAGCGGCTGCGAGTCATTTGCATTTCCTTGTAAATCGATTGACCGAGTGCATCGCTCGCGCCGATGCCGCGCCTGATATTGCATCTCCCGGCGACCTGTTCAATTACAGATTTTAATTCTATAATTAAGGACGACGTAATTTAATTTAAGCTGGCCGGAATGGAACAGCTGGGAACGTTGAAAGTAGGGTACAACGATGTAAGAGGCGTTTCATTGAACGGGGAGTGTTATCGTTGTAGATAATGAGACTGCATGCGGGATAATCCCCGTTTAAAGGGTCGAAGAGTTTTAGGGCAAATAAATGTTGGGGAAAACGTATTCTTAACTCCTTTAAAAATTAAATGAGTCCTTATGCCGTACTAAGCATCAACTTTTCCTTTGTAGAATAACATAGATCAATTCTACAATTATTATTATTTCAATCCACTTCTCCAAATCTATCTTAAGCATCAAATTATCATCATTAAAATAAATCATGGAAGCAGTAATCAGGGTTGATTGATCGTAGTATGAGATAATAATTAGTGAACTAGATTCACTGAATGAAATTAAAAAAGAATACTTGAACAAATATTTTGGTATTCATTTATTACAATTTTTGGATACTATCAAATAAAGAATCTGAAATATTTCCATGGTTTCCATCGCAGGTCAACTTCACGTTTAACTATTATGTGCACAACCATAACAATCACGTTGTTCCACAGTCGGATAAGTACCTGTTTAACCCAAGTGTTTATCTGAAGCAAATTTTATACAGAATGGTGACTTGGTGGTGAGACTTTGGAAAAATATATTTGATTTTATTGTTATTATTACAAACAATGTAATAATTTATCAATTTAAATACAAAAATACTAACTGTTTAGTATGTACAAGAATCTTTATTTATTAAAGTTGTTCCGACTCAAAGAAGTCTGACGAAAGAGTATCTAAAAAGATTTTTAAATACTCCAATCAGAACATAATAAATCTTTAGATTAAAGTGGAAGTGAGTATCTGGCTGTGTACATAAGAATTAAGCTGCTGCTTCTGATATTATTCCACGTCGGACGACGCACGGTCACTTCATCTTCACAGACGTTAAAAGATGCAACTGCGAGGACTGTTTATCTGAAAAGCCTTGCGCGAGACGAGTCTTTTTGTTAGTTGAAAACCGTAAAGTAAGGCGATTTGCAAGGAGACTCATGAACGTCACGATTCGTTACTTTTCTACTTTATCCTACCTGATTTTCCAAAATGGCTCTCACGGATGGACGCGTTCTTATCGTTCGCAAACACCGGTCTCCGGACGTTATTTTTTTACAGGCATGACGAATTCTCCGTGTAGTACTGTTTTATCGTTCCCATAAAGATGCACTTCCTACCATTCAACTTGCCATTATTTGTGATGCCTTCGAGCACTTCTTAGAACGTCCAACATTTGATCACTGCGATCCTTTTACGCCGGAAGATAGTGATAGGTCACTGGGTGAAACTCTTCTCCGAGTCTGATTTATTATTTTTATCTCCTGAATCCGAAAATAAAGTAAAATGGCATCTCCTTCGAGGCTGATTTGACACGTTTGCCTCTTCGATCTCTAGATAAAGTGAAACGAAAGATTTATGTCTGTTATTAAGAACGAGCAATAAAATATAGCGAAGAAATTTCAATACAAACAAAAGAAACAAGTACCATACGATCATTTAAAAAACATATAATTAAAGTTTAAAAATCTACAAACGACGTTTATTGCCGCTGCCACTTCCTCTGCGATTCCTTTGCGGTAACAGGGTTAGACACTAGGGAAAAACCCTCGGTGTGACGCAACATTACATTTGAAAAAAGAATAAAATTTAAGAGAGAATTTAACAAATGCCACGCCATATTGCAAAATTCATAACCGTGTCTCAAGAAAATGGAACGACGCTCAGAAATGAAAATATTTTACAAAATATTCTATAAAGAAAAGAAACCTGCAGCTATTGTCTTACAGCAACGATTGTGAAATAAAAAATAAATATTGCAAGATACATCTCAGAAGATGCAATATATTTCAGATAAATCTCAACATTCCCTATCCCATTAAGTTAAATTGATATAAAGCCTAATAATCCAAATTCTCCTGTAATTACTCTGCAACTACTTCTCTAACAAACCGTACACCAAAAGATTACCACAGAATATTGTCTCTTCTTCACTTACCGCCCATTAAAAACATCGTCCGTTGAATTTGGTTCAAGGGTATTCCCAACTCCTCGTCTCCACATTTCCCCAAAGACCATCCGCAATCCGAGGACACAATTACCAGCCAGAAATCGTCCATCCGCTACACCGGTCGAGGCACAAAGAGTCCGACGCACGTGCAACCAATTTGCTATGGCGCGACCACAATACTGAGAAAACGGTGGAAAATTGTGCCGACCGGGATCGAGGATCGACGAAGCCCACGGAGAGAAGTCCCGCGTGGCCAACGTCTAGATTCCAGTCACGTAGAGATGGCCCCATCGAAAATCGTTCCCGTCGTTCCTTCGCCGCGATAGGACCTCGTAGGGCCTTAATCTATGTAGGCCAGTGTGTCCAACCGCAATCGGAAGCCCGTATGCGTCTGGCAGCGTAGAATTACTGGTATCACCTTCGCAGCCAAGGTCTCTCCCCCCGCCATTTCGTTATCATCCGGCAGCCACTTGTCATTACGCACGAACTTGGCATCGTTCTTGCTATCGTATTAGTTCACCGGACGCCGGCCACGTGAAACGATCACTCAGCCGATGATCGCGTACAATTCTCTATTCGTTCGATCTCGACGATCCCAAAAACCTCGGGACAAAGACCTCTGGCTCCGGGGTTCACGAGCCGTGACGCGGAATCGGTTGGCCAGGCGGACAGAAAGCAGAGAAAGCCGGGGCGGCCGGTTATCGATCGTTATTAGGCTTTTATTAGACGGAAGTGTTGTCGATACCGAGGGAAGGGTACATCTCCAAGGGGGGTCGTGTTAACTTAAGTGAAAATATCACCGAGAGGTCCGTTGTCAGGGGCTGCGGCCGGCTTCCTTTGCCTTAATTCCCGTACGATCTGTTAGAGAGTCCGATCGCGGTGCTGCTCGAGGCAGGACGCCTCTTTGTCTTCATCCTCGAATATCCGTCTACTCGTATACACGGGAAACGACAGCGGACGACGTTCAGCGGAGGAGCGAATTAATCGAAAGGAATTGATCAACGCTGTTCAGGAATTCCGAGTCGGAAGATTCTTTCGGTTCAGTTTACCTGTAACAGACATACCAAGTTGTAAACAGTGAACTTAGCGGATTACGATCCGAGCGTGAATGCATTAGGATTTCAAGCCACGGCGTTGTATAGTTACGGCGCGATCGTCTAGGAACACGAAACCCGTCACACAAATTGCGACTTCCGAACTTTGATAACGTGCCGGCGGAAGGGCTTGAACTGGGGCCGGATGCCGCGGTATCGTGCGGATGATGCTATCTACGTGCTAATCGCGCGCCGGGACGCTGTAAATGTGCGACATCGGTTAGTGAATTTTTTGATCGGAATATAGTATGTTTTTGTAACACCGGAGTGAAATGTTGCTTTGCGACGAATATTCCTGACGAATAAAATAAAGCGGCTCTTCTGGTAAAGTGTTGGGAAAGATAACCCACGATGGAGGCGCGTGAAAAATCGCTGGAATGGGCGTTGCTCTTCCCGCTGAAGGCAGGGCTCTTCGCCATGAAGTGGTCGTTGTCATCTAGAAGTGTGAATCGCGAGAAAGAAAGAATCGCGAAGAAGAATCAGCTATTGCCGAACCCGAGGATGCGTCGCGGTTCGTCGCTGTCCGACTTGGACAAGCTGCAGAGTAAACCGATTCTACCGGACGTGATTAGGTCGACGGAGAAATGTTCGGAATCGCTTCCACACTCCCCTGCGTTGTCCAGGACGAACCTGCAACTGGGTAGCTCGTATGTGAGAGGCAGCATAGGAGATCTGATCAACATGAAGAAGTACGGAGCGTCCACGTGGAGTGTCAGAAGTGAGAGTTTGATCGCGAAAGTGGTGCCGCTGAGCACGGTAACCCCGAGGCACAGCCCGCCGTTTGAGAAAAGCGTCGAGGATCTTGAAGACGAACTCCAGGACGACTGGCATGTGCCTGGGAAGCCTCTAACTTGCGCGCAGAGAACGCAACGGCTCAGCAAACTCATCAAGAAGCAGAGGCGCATGATGATGGTGTTTAGCCCGAAGACTTTGAAGCGCGACACCGTAAGTTTCCGGGGAATTGTTTCGGAAATGGGATTACAGTTAAACAAATTTCGGAAATTCGGAAATGGAATTACAATAGAACGATTCGGAAAATTCAGGAATGGAATTATAGTAAAAAGATTCGGAAAATTCAGGAATGGAATTATAGTAAAAATATTCTGGAAATTCAGAAAGGAAATTATAGTAAAAGGAGTTTCGCAACAATTATGCGTTATTAGGATTTCATGTTAAGTTCCATCGACATCGCCATTTGAGTACTGATTTAATTTGCTTGTAGTATTTTCTTGCGAAGAATCTCACTTTTATAGTTATTTTCCAGCAATTTTTTAATCGCATTATTATAATTGTTTCCGTACGCCAAAGCGGATTTTGATTTGGTGTACCCATTGGTGGGTTCTTGTGATTTTTTAGAAATATTGAATATGAATCTCAAAAGTGTTTTTTAATGCTTGATGTTGGGGAGCACTGACGATATCTTTCGTTACGCGGAAATATAACACTTTCTTAATTAAAAATAAAATCAGTTCGATTTTTTTGATAGTTTCTGCATTTCCACATTACATGGAATTCCACACATCTGTTAAATATTTTTGATTCTTAATTCTACAGTCGGGTAAAGTATAATAATATGAAATAAACTATCTGCGTGCATAATTTTTAGAACGAAAGCATAATTAGCCATTGAAAAACAATTATCGGTATGTAAAATGATAGTAAGAACCAATTTAATAGACCCTTATATCTTTGAAATCTTTGCAATTCTGTGAATTCAGTAAAATTATATGAAATAACTCATATTTTAATAAGATTCGAGAAAATGGATGGAAATTTCGATTTTTCTCATTCCCTAAACCGGAAGATCCCTCTAAAGTACAAAAAACGCTCGGCAAAGGGTGACTGGAGTCACGTTCACAATACAACGGCAAGTAATCATAGCCATGTGTAATAACGAATGGATTAATATACTGACACAAAAATGAGTTTCACAGCGGATAAAGGAAGTGTATTTTCGCGAAAAGAACCGTGTAACCCATTTTAAAAAACAGTTCATTGAGAGTAATGGTTGATATATGTAGTGTGGTCCACACAAGTAGGTCAAGATACGCTTTTTTTCCTAGTTGCAATTAGGAATGAAAACTAGAGGAAAATGTTGCAAGATTTCAAAGTGAACTACATTTCTGGGCCATAACCTTTCTGGCGAGTTACATTTTCAAGCAGTTACAATTTTCTTAAAATAAAAGAACAGGTTCGTTTTAATGATTGAAAAAATGAATGAATTTTCATGTAAATACTTGTTAAATACACTTCTCTTCGTATTTGAATTTTGCTAAAATATTTACATATAGATATTTAATTAACATTAACATTAAAGAAGTTCCATAAATAACGTACGTTTAAGAATCGTTCTTTTTTCAGTGTAAATACTATTAATCACGGATCAAAAGAAATACTTAAAAAGAAAAAAAAAGAAGATATCTTATAAAAGCAAAGACACCAAATTGAATATTCCATGTATTCAAATTCTCCTAAATGCACTGTGAGCCATTTCCATGTCGACAAATACGTGATGCGAACGCCGAACTAGGTATCTATGCCGATTTTAATAAAACATCTACATACTTGCTTACGGCGGCGCATTCGGCACGTTCTGATTCCTGTGTCACTCGTAAATCTCATAATTCATCCACGATATTCTTCCTGCGCGTATCGATCGTACTTTTTCGGTCAATGGGAGATTTGGGGAGCACGTGTTTTCCCGGGATGGTAAAAAATAACGTTATCGATCGT